ATCAGTGAGTGCTGCTGCATATGCAAATGACACGAATTATGATCTCGATTCCAGCTCCCACAATTTCCCAGACCAGCATAAAGCTAATGCCCATAACGAGACGTGTTCTACGGGGTAAAAGTGCGACCCGATCGCGACCCACTGCCACATTGGCCTGAACAGATCCCAGAGCTCAGACCCCAGTGCCAGTCCCAGCCCCACAATCTTGCACAATCATCTACTTGGCTTTGGCTCTGGCTCTGGCTCTGCCTTTGCTCTACTCCACAGTTGGCTGCCCGAAATTGAAAGTGTTTCGTTTCGTTTTCCTCCTCCACTTGGGATGGTAGTTTGGAGTCAGAGTTTGGAAATGGAGCGCCCCCAAACCTACCTCTTTTTGTGTGGAGTTTCTTCTGCTGCTGCTTCTGGTGCCGCACTTGATGATCTTTATTAGAGTTTTCGGTTAAGTTTTTCATCTAGTCTTTTGTGTGCTTGCTGTTTAATTGTTTTATAAACTTTAGCGGCCAGAAATCGAGCTGCCAGCTATCGTACAGTGGTGCAAGTCTCTCTTTTCATTGATCATTCCTCTTATCCATCAGCGATCTCTGCTCCCCGCACCACTGTGCAGCAAGCGATTCAAAGTTCAAATCAATTTCAAATGAATTAAGGGGGCTGGGGGCATCCCAAAGTCATGGCCTCCTCGATCCAGCGTGTCAGCGAGTTTCAATGTCAGGATGTGGCCTGGGTTCAGCAGCCATTTTGGAGAGCCCAAGCCTAACCTTTTCTTCGACTTCGTATCGAGTGTTGGCAATGGCGGAAGTTGTATCAATCGGAGCCATCAAGTGCGAGAATCGTAATCATTTTCTGTTTGTCTAACAAACATGTGCGCTGATTTTATCTTGGAATCTCTGTACCAAAAGGGGCTTCAGGGGGGGAGAGCTCTTATGTCTCATGTGATGTGGGTAGGCCCGCAGAAACTGCCAATCAAAGATATGTTGACCCCCACGCATTGAGGATGTACGAGTCGAGTTCTGACAAGTGTCTTTGAGTGTTGAGATCCACGGGTTAAGTTTTGGCAAGCGGATTAGCTGCCAGATCTTGCCCAACCAGAGACAATGGATCCATTAAGTGAGCTGCACTTTGGGATGACTTTGCGGTCCCCCAGAGCACGCACTCATCGAACGTTCTCCAATGGATCGAAGATGAAGATGAAATCCCTCCCCTTTAAACGGCTGGCGTTGTGCAACCCGCACGGTCCGTTTCGCGCAACAAAAGGCAAATTTTTGTTCGGTAGCTGCCATGCCACACAATCATTTTAGTTGCCTTGGACCGGCTGCAACTTGCAACGCTTGCAACCCGGCTGCTGCTGGCAGTGGGAACTATTTTTATGACCGCTTGGGCCGTAAATAAATCAGTGGACCGATGCTCCCATCGCCCACAAAATGCAAGGTTTAGACGCTTTTGTTTGTCTCCCCCAAAGTAGTGGCTGAAGCTGAGGCTGAGGCTCCACTCTCTTCTGTCCGACTGTGGGCCACATCAATCATCGCTGGAGCCGGCTGCCACTGATTGAGCGCCAGAATGCACATCTCTCGGCTGTGTACCCTCGAGATCTATTCTGTTTCAAGTTTAATTGCTTCGCATACGTTTTAATTATGCTCCGCACATGAATGCACCGTTCCATGAATGAGAGCCACTTTCAGCAACTAATTTGGCAATTTTGCACAAGTCGCAGGCGCAGACGAAGGCGCAGACGCAGACGAAGGCGCAGGCGCAGGCGCGAGTGTAATTACTTTATGGAGTGCTCTGTGAATGCGTCTTTTATGACAGCACAGAGCCATCGTGGTGCAGACAGAGTGCAGATCGAGATCGAAGCCATCCATTCGCTCAAAATGCCAAAGTTGAACAAAGTTCCTCAGGCGGATCTAGCGTCGAACGGAGAATAGATCTCGAGTTGTGACCTTCGCCTGTTTGTGATGAGATGAGATGAGATGAGCGATACAGTTTGATGGAATGTCATCGATAAATTGTTTAGTTTTTGAAATTGTTTATCAAAAAGTCAGTTTCCAAATTTATGCACTTGGGATTATATTTAGAGATCTTCCATCAGCCAGGAATTTGCCTTAGCTCATCCTATCGATTATTTTGATGTTTTTCACTAAGAAAGTTTACTGCGGGGGAATTTCCTCTACCTTATCCCACCCTACACCCCTTAGCCCCTCCTCTAACCCACAATTTTCAGCTGAAAATGTCAAAGCTATTCGTTTTAGCCGTGAGTCAAGCAACTTTTACTCTGATTCTGGCAGAAGGCAACGACCTTCGCAGCGGGCCAAGAATGCAGTCGATCGTCAAAGTGCGAGCAAAAATCTCGTCATAAACCGAACGTCTCCTCCTGCTCTTGCTCCTCCTGCCAGCGCTCAACATGCTGAAGATTTTTGATCATTTTTGTGCTGAAGTGCGGCGCAATTTACATCAAAAGATGCCTTAATTGATTCGCTGGCCGTGGTGGTTCCGCGGCGCATTGCATCACACAAATTATTTGTAGTTTAATTTAAATTATACGTTTACGTTTGCGTTCCACTCGTTCCAGCATTCTAGGTTACAAAACAAACACTGTTACGGCTACAGAGATTTGATCTCGTGTGGTGTGGTCCACGCGATACAGATACAGATACAGATACAGATACTCGGCACTGATTGTTGTAAGTATTTCAAGGTCCTACCCGGGCTCGAAAACACTATAGAAACCATCAGGAAATTACCGATAGTCATTGTCTTTTTGGGTTTTCAGTTTTGACTTTGGCGCATCATCACCTGGCTGGGTGCCATTAGCATTAGCCCCTCTCTAGAGCTGTCTCCAACTGCGAGCGGGGCACGGGGCACGTTCAATGTAAATTAGCCGATGCAGGAAATTAAATGATTTTTTAATGTGCTGGAAAAATTATTACTGCAAACACGATGAGAGAAGAGGCACAGCCAGAAGAGACTGAAAAACCCCAAAACAGATCTCAAGTTGTTTCATGGAGTGCTATTGAAAGTGAGTTTCAGTTATGGTGCTGCTCCGTGGAATGCGGCAAGTTTTATTTAATTGTTTTGTTTATTCAACAAAATTCAAGAGTCAGTCGAAATTAACCATTATAAATGTTACCTTACAATGTTATAGTTTTTTTTTTGCACAAACATAATTCCAAATGATATTTCGCCATTACAAAACTTTTAGTTTATTCTCCAATTTAGTTTTATTATTCGGACTCGTGGCAAGGTCGCAGCATTACGCGGCAGAAACAAAACACTTGTCGGGGAGGAAGCAGCAGCATCTCCTTTGGGCATTACCCTACACTGGAATCCGCACCCATTCATTATCGGCTCATTTAATGGGGCGGGCGGCGTCTGGCATCTGGCATCGGGCATCTAGCCCGTACAAATTGTGAAAGTCAGCTCGTGCCAAATAATCGAATAATCAGCAGCGGCAACCACAACAATGGAGCTTTAGCAAAAATGTTTGCCAAAAAGTCAATAATCATTTGCCACGCACTCGATCGAGATCACAAAATGAACAATAAAGACAAAGGCAATTGGCCAAGGAAATATGATGAACTATTTGCAGATCGTGATGGATGCTACGCCCACACTCGTTGAGGCAGGCACCAAGCATATTGAATTTCGAATACTTTTCGAGCATTTATCGAACATTTTTCTTTGTGTGTTATGCAAGGGAGAGCTTTCAGGGGATAAGTAAACATAACAAAATATAATATTTCAATCTATCAATCATACGGAAAAAATCAACTTGTAGCGGTTGCTCCATTTCTTTCATATAAGCCTCAGAAGTACCAGCAAATCTTTGGAGCCTGTAGCCAAAACTAATCCCTCGCATAATGCGCTTATCAGCTAGATCTCTGGGAACTACTGCAATTGCCCGCGATCATCCGCCTGGAATCCATGTCGACACATCTGTGTGAGATCTATCGCATAATCCGGGCTCATTAAATTAAACAGAAACCGAAACCGAAACAGAAACAGAAACCGAAAACCCCACCGAGACTCCCACGCACTAAAGGGAAACAATTTGTTTGCGGGTTTGTATTGCTATTACCCCAAAAAACATGGAGAACATTTCGGATTACGATTACTGTTTGCAGCCGCCTTGCCAGCCTGAAGAGTCTTTTGTCTTTGGCAGAGTTTCGCTGTGGCGGAGATTGCAGAAGATGCGTGGAGCGAGTGGAGTAGGCAGAGCTCCGCTCACTTTGCTGCCAGCATCGATTCGCAGTCGGCGTCGCGGCCAGCTGTATGACTAATTCCATTACAAGTAACTGTTTTTGCTATTACATGAGCGACAACAACAGCAGCAGCAGCGAATGTTTATGGTCTACCTGAAGTGGAAGCAGCGCGGCGCATCACATTGCTCTTCCCCGCCACCCATCCCCACTTGCCGAGTACCAGCGGTGCTCATCTTCGCTGTTGCCGAAGCCCACCGCCTTCGTGCTCGTTAAAATGTTTGTCGCTTCAATTTCAAAGTAGTTTACTATAACAAACCCCCCTTCACCTAGCTTTATCAAGCACCACCATCCACCCACTGGCTTGATCTTTCTCTCTCTCACAGTTTCGGCCAAAGCTTATTAAAGGCAGGTGAGACTCTCTCTCGTTTTCCGCCTCTCTCTGTGGGGTGAGAGTACCTGGCTGTACTATTACGAGAGTGCATGCCATCAATGCCTCACCTTCAATCGATACACGTTTCCCATGCGCTTTTTCTAACTCTCTCGTAAGCTCGGAGAGCGATATGCTCTTCGGCTGATGCTGCTGCTGCTGCTGCTGTACTTCTGCCTCTACGCTTCCTCTAGTGTTTGTGTTTTGCTTTGCATTTATTTTGTAATGAGCTTTTTGTTGTTTTTGTGTTGTATGTGGCTGCCCGAAAATTGAAATTGAAATACACCAAAAAAAAAACACATTTTGGCGCGCGATTTTCGCAGTCGACGCTGGCTGAGAGATCTGCCGCAGCCTCTGCCACAGCTACAGCCATGGGTTGCGGTGCAGCGCATTTCAAATATAAATACTGGCCTACGAAATTGTTTCAGTATCACAATCCGTTCAACCATCTTCGCCAGAAGAACACCAGAAGCAGAGAGTTCCACAGAGGAAGAAAAACCGATTTCGTGTGTGCCAAAACCCCCCAAATAAGTGACAACACAAAATGAAGGTATATATAGGATAACTATCCTCAAGGGTATCCTGTGTGTTATACTATAAGAACCGTCAAAAATCGGATCAAGTGTCAAGTGGTGTGCAGTGGTGTTCCTGGTCAGGGGAGCACGGCAGGACAATAAGGATTAAATTCAGTGTTAAAGAAACGCTTCAAGACTTTCGGGAACTGCTCAGGAGTACTTCTGGAGTACATCCACAATTTAAAACTCAGAGGAGTTACATATAAAGGCAATCCTTTCGACAGGACAATATTTCTAGAATCAATCCTTGTTCTTTCGGTGACTGAAAATCCCACTCTTTTGGACCTTCTTTCAAGTAAAACTAACCCCTATTTCTTGTTGTTTAAAAAATCGATCAAAAATGTGCCAAAAATGTATACATTTCTGTTAACCAAATTTGATGAATTCCAAATTCTTCGGCAATCGATCGATCAATCAATTAAACAACTTATCAAGCTAATGAAGCGGCGTTTGGTGCTGGCCATCGCCATCATCCCGCACCTCTAACGTGGCCCAGACGTCAGCGAGAGATGATAAAGCGATTAAAATGGGTGGCAGATCAAGAGTCAAGTTCAGTTGGGCGATTAATCAAGCGCCGCCAGAGAGATCCGCATAATAAATTTCATAAGCAGCGCCATCATCAACCATTTGTTGTAGGGGAGCTACTGGTTTTTTGTTTCTTTTTTCTGTTCGTTATCTCGGATGTTGCACAAGATCAGATCAGCCGAAACCAGAACAGGCAAATCCATGAGCAGGGTTCTCCTGTTACCTGGGAAGCAATTAAGGCAGCCGATCCCAGTACTTAGTGGAAGTAACACCAGCAGATGGTACATTTTGCAATGAATAAATTAAACAAACAAAAAACTTGGAGCGGCGGAAGAAGAACGAACTGCCCAAGTACGGAGTCGTCTACAGAGAGATGACCAGACAGCGATAAAACACGGCCAGTAGCCAAGTAGCCAAGTAGCCACTGAGGCCAATGAAGCATGAAAGTCATTGACGGCCCTCGTGTACTCCTCGTACTGAGACAAAATCTTTTGCAAAACCATTCGGAAATGTATGTGGCGCAATGGTAAGACTCTGCAGATGAAAAGAAGTTCTCCCACAGGTTGCACCACGAGGCAGCAGGCAGCAGGCAGCCCTTCACTTGATCAGCGACCCAATTACCACAAAATTTGCATATGCCTCAGCTAAAAGCTAGAAAAAGCAGACAAACAAAGCCACCAAATTGCTTACCAGACCAACGAGATCTAAACAAAAACAATTGCACAAAGAGCAGGTCTAATTATGGTTATGATTATGGGAGTTTAATGGCAGAAATAGAAGCAACAGACAAACAAAAGTTTCAAAATTGTGGAATTTGATTAGGTTTCAACTTCCTGCGAGTCCTTCTGTGTCTCTGCGCGATATGCCTGCTGATGGATCTTGAAGCCATACAGTCTGGGGAAAGGATAGTTAGGGATTGGGATGAAATTCAATGGAGTTTGTGGGTCACCCACCTGGGCACAAACTTCGCCTTTGCGCGCTTGGGTCGCACCTCTGGCTTCACCATGAACAGCATGTGGGGGAAGCCAGTGCCAAAGAAGGCGCCATCCAGGTTGGCATGACGAGCGGACTTTGGCAGGTAAACATCATTGCACTTGGGGCAGTAGATTCGCACCATTTCGTCTCCGGGATTATCACTGAGCCCAATGGGCAGCACGTGCTGGCGCTGGCAAAAGACACGTGGACAGGTGCCAAAGAGGCCCTTCTGGTACTTCTCGAACATCAGATCGATGCCGCGATTGGTGAGGATAAAGCGAGCGTGGATCAGGCCGTAGAGCTTCTCAGCGCTGGCCTCCACATCGGACTCGGCTGCATTGTCCGAGCCAGAGCCAGTGTTCAGGTCGAGTATCACCTCGAGGGCGCAGCGATAGTTGTTCACATCAGTGTCCAGGAAGTTCAGATTGAACTTGTCGTGGATGTAGTCCTCGTCCACCATGGCAAAGAACTCGTTGCCGCGCTGCTTGCAGAACCAATGGATCCAAGCTGTCTCATCCGAGTCGGTCATGGCTGCTGCTGATGCTTCAATATGTTCAAAACAGATTCTTAAACTTTAATTTAATTTCGATTTGTGAGGAAGGCAGAGCGGAATGTTTTTCACAGGCCTACTTGGATGATCAAATTATAATCAAATACTTTTCTTACCTTACCCCTCCCAGTGCTTTACATCGATTGCGCTGCTCGTGTGCCTGGCCGCGTTGACCCGTGCGGAACCGCCAGTGCCCCAGAACCAGTATCTGCCGCCCAATCAGTCGCCTCAGGCGCCCAACAACAACTACCTGCCGCCCACGCAGGGCTTCCAGAGCCCCTCGAGCAACTATCTGCCTCCCCAGCGCACTGGCGGCAATGGCGGTGGCATTGCGGCGCCCAGCAACAGCTACGGCGCACCCATTGCCCAGCCCCAGAGCCAGTATGGTGCCCCGGCGCTGACTGGAGCGATCTTCAAGGGACAGAATGGCAATGGTGCTGGCGGCTATGGCGGCGGCAACAGCAATGGATACGGACAGCGCGACGAGGAGCAGTACGGCCCGGCCAAGTATGAGTTCAAGTACGACGTGCAGGATTACGAGTCTGGCAATGACTTTGGCCACATGGAGTCCCGCGATGGTGATCTCGCCGTCGGTCGCTACTACGTCCTGCTGCCCGATGGTCGCAAGCAGATTGTGGAGTACGAGGCTGACCAGAACGGTTATCGTCCCACCATCCGCTACGAGCAGGTTGGCAATGGCAATGGCAATGGCAACGGAAACGGACGCAATGGCGGTGCCGGCGGCTATGACAGCAATGCGCAGCAGCAGGGCAAGTTCAATGGCTACTAGAGGGAGAGGACGGAGGATGCCTTCTAGTGTACCCGAGTTAAGTCGACCACCCTCCTAGCTATACGATCTACTTCCGTGGAATCAACTGCCGCCAAGCCCTGGCCGAGTATTAAGTCCGTTGCCAGGGCGGCAGTAATCCCTCCAAATGTTATCCCTCTCTGTCTCTCTCTCTCTCTGTCTCTAGTGGAGCGCCTGTCCCATTTTTGCCATAGCCAGGGACGCGCTCCGTTTGTTCCGCTATTCTTCCTCCTTCGTCTCTATGCCTGCCACGTGCTCCATTTTTGTATTTTTTGCCGTTTGTTTTGGTTTAAGCGCCTCCATTTTGTGTTAGTGCACGCACACACACACACACACACACACAACGTCACACCACCATTAACGCATACATAAACATCAACCCATGCATACATATAAATAAGATTTGTATTTAATTTGTAACTGAGGAAAATCCCCAAATGAAAAGGAGCTGAGAAAAATGGAAAAAAAACATGCAAAGGAAACACGAAACAGAATGAGATTTCTTGTGTATATTTTAATTAATTAATTAAACGAATAAAGATGCATTTTTGTATAAAACAAAGTCAGAAAAAGAAAATCATCAAAATGTGTTCTGCTCTTCCCGGAAATCATCTACTTGAGCACCCGCTCCAGCTGCCCCTGGCTGTTGTAGCGATACACTGGATCCTGCAGCTGCCCCACCGTGGAGTATCGCAGCTGCGCGGTGAAGTCCTCATCGCCATCGAGCTGCTGCAGTGCGCGAAAGGAAACCCGCTGGATTTTGTTATCCTTTGCAACGATGTAGTAGCGACCTTCTCTGATGTTCGACTGCTGCTGGTCGGCCGAGGCAGATTCCTCTTCATCGGGATAAATGATTTTGAAGGCAGGATCCGTCTCAGGTGCACCATATTGATTGGACGGGCGCGGGTTCCTGCTCGGAGAGACTGCTGTTCCCAGAATGGACTCTGGCAGTGCCTCAGCCTCAGTACCAACCAATGGCGAGGGTGTCAAATAGTTCGTTTGCGGCGGCTTTACTTTTCCAGCGAGTTCCACGCGTTCCTTGCTGATCTCTACACCAGAGCCGCGAGCACGGCTGGTCGGCAAATACTCGTTGGGCAGATTAAAAGGAACTCTTGGCTGCCAGCCAGCGGCGGCATATGGAGCAGCTCTACGACCCACAGGCAGCTCTCCACGCACAACGGCCAACAAAGCAATCAATGGAATAAACTAAAAGAAATTATTTCTTAATGTTTCTGTATTAATCCTAACATCTGACTTACCTTTGCCAGCATTTTGATGGACGTTGCAATTGAAACTGCAATCAAATGTTTGGGACTTACGCATTTTTATATCAAAAACATATTCGAAGCATTCGCATCGTTGGCATGCCAGGCACGCACCCTGCCCTGCGCGGCTGACACACATCTGCTCCAGCTCAGGCCACATAGTCACGTATCCAAAAAACAACAGAATCGCGTGAAAATATATGACCTTTAGACAACGGATGAGCACATCTTTGGCAAAGGCGCAACAAAGGTGTTTTCGCAAATATCGGTTTATTGGTAGATATGCAATGTTGTTCCTATCAGCAGTGAATGTTTTAAGTGTGTGAGTTGTGAGCTTATCAAGTTCAAAGTCATAATCCTTTTGGAGAGACATTATCAGAGCTTCTTTCTCGAGAATTCTTTCTCCATGTGCTTTCAAATTATATTCGTTACTCACAGACTGACCCTACGCTGCTACTACGCAACAAATACCGCATGTTTCGATGGCAAATACCGAAGAAGCCCCAAATACTATAAAACTTGAAGAATTTGAGAGCCGTGCAGGTGAAAGATGTAGATTTAGGAGATCAATTTACAAATCACATACATTTTCCGCGGCTTATTTAAGTTGTTCACCTATTTCAACAGAGCGGCGCTGAGTGGGTTAAGTAGGTATGTTTCCTTGGTAGATTTGCGGTATTTTTTGACTTGGCTCACTCGGTATATTTAATCGACACGTCCGCGGCCACACTGAGCCCTAGTATTTACAATGGAATGTGGAAAAAAAAATTAATAACTAAACCAAACCACTAATTTCCTTAGTTAAAACAAGATGATAAGTGCATTTAAATGTTAAAAGAAAGCTGCCACAATTCATTGAACCAATGCGGAACCATTTGCACAGTCGCACGCTGACTAAGCAACAAAATATCTGCACAGAAATTCCATAAACAAGAAGACAGCGTGGAAGGCGACAAAAGTGAACCAATACAGGTAATATCAATGCTGGAAAACATGAAGTAAAACTTTAATTGGTTTGTTTGTTTTGCAGTGATGCTGATGCGGTAGCCCGTTTATTATGTGCCAGTGGCCCAGAGTCCAAATTGTTCAAACGATTCATACAACATGTGGCACAGAAGCAGCAGCAGCAGCAGCCTGCACCTCGCGTTGCTTGTCCTGGCAGCGCTAACATCCACAACTATCAGTCAACAAGTTCCTCTAAGCATAGCCAACAAAACTAGCAATGCAAACAAAGTGCCTACAGATCTGGGTGTTGTCGAAGGTGCCGCCGGATTCATGCCCCTCCAGCAGACATCGGCGAGCATTTTCTTTGCCAACTACAATCAGCAGAATGTGATGCAGCTGCGCCACAATATGGAGAGCAAGCTGCGCAGCATACGCAATGTGGAGATGCGAGTGGCCAAGATACAAGTAAGAGGATATCCATCTATCAGCTTCCAGCTAATCCTCCTTCGTTTCTCGTTGTTTTTCTCAGGAAATCTTCGACTCGATTCACTTCAGCAGCGCAAATGGTGCAGCTCCGGCTCGTCAGTCGTTCAGCAATGACAGCGCACAGGCGAATCCTCAGCTGCAGCGTGACTTGAAGCTGTTTAGCAAGCGTCTCAGCAAGAAGCTGCTGAAAGCCACGCACTTGGTGCTGGAGCTGCGCGATTTGTTCCGCTACAATCTCAGCAAAGTGCTGCAGTACAGCTACGAGGACGAGGATGAGGAGCTGGAGAGCGAGTTCGATATGGACTCGGAAACGGAGGAGCTGCATGGCAAGAAGCCAGACTCCGCCGTCACCCAGCATCAGCTCTACTTGAACACCCAAATCGAGAGTTGTCAGCCCGAATATGAGTCGGAACTGGACGCTGCCGCCGCCTCCGCCACATCCCAGTCGCTGCACTACAACAAACAGCAGATACAAATCCTGAACTATCTCAAGTCGGATGATACCCGCGGCGCCTTTCTGAATGAGAATAATGCCCGCTCCTTGGCGGTTAATGGCTACATAGCCGACCAGCTCTTCCAGCTCAAGCGACGGCTAAGCCTGAGCGATGCGGAGGCCTCGAATACGAGTGGAAATCACTTTAAGCACATTTACTTTCTGTCCAACTCGGATGGAGCGCCTGTAAGCCAGCACTTTCGACAGCTCTACGTTTCGGCCATCAAACAAAAGTTTGTGCTGCTTCTCATTGATGTGGGATCCGCGCTGAATGCGGAATTGTTTGAGCTAACCAAGAACTTTGGTAAGCATTTTACTTGGAGCTCCTTTTAGAGCTAATTCTCGTTTCTTTTGCAGTTCATGAGCTACTGCAGCTGCTGGAGGACACGGATAAAGTCTCCCTGGTGACGGTGGCCAGCGAGGCAAACTTTATGGCTCTCGATGCCTTTCCCGCGGAAGCCGTACATGGAGTTTACAGCGCCACGCGCGCACACAAAGAGGAGATTCTAAGCTACGTGAATAGCCTGAGCCGCGCGCACGCTCTGACCAACCACACGCTGGGCTTTGAGTATTCCTTTCAGCTGCTGCGACGTCTGCAGAAGTCGGGCATGCTGAACACAGCGGAGCAGCCAGTGGAGTTTGTGTATGTGACGCGTGGCCTGTTGACCAACCTATCCGATGCGATGGCCGTGCTGCGTGTTGTGGCCGAGGGGCAGAGCCACCTCAAAGCTCCAGTGATCATCAACACCTGCGCCGTGGTCTTGGATGAGAAGCGCATAATGTACGAGAAGCAATTCCTGAGCGATGTGGCCACCCAGAACTACACAAAGTACGAGATAAATGTGACAAAATGGTGGCCCACTGGCCGACAGCCCGCACAGCTGGCTGGACGCTTCTTTGTGCTGAGTAAAATGCATGCAGAGACGTTGCTGCCACAGACTAGTTCCCGCATCTTTGGGCAGCTATTTGTAGAGCGCTATCTGACGGACACGCTGGAGGTGCATCCGCCCATTGTGGATGCGGAGAGTGGAGGTGAGAGTTTACTTTTTGTCTTCCACAATCAAATATTAACCTTCTCCTTTCCGTTCGCAGATGTTTTGGTTTCCATAACTCACGCAGTGCCTCCCTATGGTGTTGTGGGTGTTAACTTGTACCTGGCAGATCTGCTGGAGGATCTGCTCAACTATCCAAGTGCTGCGCCGAGTGCCAGGCAGGGCAGTGGCTATGCCTTCCTCCTCGAACGCTCCTCGGGCAATACGCTGGCCCATCCAGCCTTTCCCCGCCCGCTCATACAGCGTGAGACTTCGTATCCCGTGAATATTGCTTACCTGGAGAACGCCACGGACTTTTCCAGCCACATAAGGCAGCGCCTGCTGCGCGAGGAAACTGGCAACGCCACAACGGATGTTTATGTCGGGCAGCAGCGCCTGCGGCGCACCTACCACTGGAAATCCGTGCTGGGCATCTACGTGCTGTGCCTCGTGAGCAGCGGCAACGATGGCAGGCGGAACGACTCCACGCAGCGTTACAACCTGAAGGATACAGTGTCCAACTACGAGCCGGGCTACTACGGAGAGAGCATGGACCTGCTGTATCATCGATTGGATCTCCACCAGGGTGGGATTGCAATGCCCAAGATTTGTCGCTACTTCAGGCAAATGGCCACAATGGGTGAGTGTTTCGAGCACACAGCAACCAGGAGAGTTTAACCCATTCAAATCCTTTACAGATGCGCCCACGCTGTTCCTCAGTGCCGCTGCCTTCGAGTCTCCCTTCGGCTTCCTGCACAACAATCGGCCGAGCACACAGCTGCGACATGTGGAGAACATTATGGCGTATCTGAAGGAGCCCAGCGATGTGCTGGCCAATCCCGGACTGCGTCCCAGCATTCGGCATGAGGTGAGTGTGTTGTACCAGGCGCTGCAGCAGCTGCGTCGCCGCCATCAGGATGCGCGCGGCTCACTGCGAGAACACATCATTCGTCGCTACATGGCTAGTGTCAGTGGCGTGCTGCAGCTGTATCCGGGCTGTCTGCTCAGCAGCAGCTACGATCCCACGCGCAGGCCATGGTTCCGCCAGGCCATGGCCCAGCCGGGGAAGATTGTGAGCACTGCGCCGTATCTGGATGCGGGAGGAGCTGGATACATTGTCACTCTGGCGCACACCATATTCGAGGGCAAGGCGCACGCGCTGCACTCGGCGCAACAGGATCGACCGGTGGGTGTGGTAGCCCTGGATGTGCCCTACGCCTTCTACTATCGCCTGATTGTGGAGAGCACGCCGCTGTGCCAGTTGCCGCACATGAAGTGCTTGATCTTCGAGCACGAGGGCTACCTGCTGGCCCATCCCAGCATGCTGCAGCCGGCCACACCCACGCGGAACCAGCGGAGACCGCACGAGCATCTGACGCACAAGGAGTCCTACCTGGCCAACGATATGCTGAACCATGGCCAACTGGTGCGCAAGCTGGGCTGCACCAGCTACCAAAACCGAACGCTGCAACGTTACTACGCGTTCAACACCTCGCTGGCCAGCATTCTGGGCAATGTGGTGCATGGAGAGCGGACCAAGTACGCCATTGCCCTGATCCGTGGCAGCAATCTCTTTGCCGCTGTCCTCAACTCCAGCTGCGACGGGGGAGCCTTCTGTCCGTGCAGCACCATCGATCGGGAGTGCCTGAACTGCAAGCGAATGGATCAAACGGACTGCGAGTGTCCCTGCGAGTGCCCCATGGTGGGCGATGGCAACACATCCTCGTCCTTTGAGTACTACGCCAACTACACGCAGCATTTCCCCTACTGTCTGCCGCCCAGCGAGCACTTTGTGGCCCTGCCACCAACCACCCAGCTGCTCAGTGCCCTGCCCAGCTGCATGGTAGCTGGTTCGGCGGTGGCTGGCGGCTGCGAGTTGTACTCCAGCCAGAGGGAGTGCCTGGGCGTAATGGGCTGCGAGTGGTGCCAGCAGGATGTGGAGGGAAACACCTTCAGTGCCGCCTTCTGTGCCGCCCAAGCGAGCTGCTTCAATGGTGTGCTGGCCTCGCTGACGCCCTACGGCGAGCTGGACGAACTGGAGCTGCTGGCGGCGCACAATCCGCAGAGGGAACAACACGCGTACTCCGCCTTTGGGCCGCTCGGAGGTGCCGTCGTGGTGCTTGCCATTGTGATTGCCTTTGCCATTTATTGCTACAGACACAACCTTGATGCCC